ATCACTGGTAATATAGTATGATCTGTATTTGAAAAACGTAACCAAGAGCGAACATTTACGTGTTTTAAATATTTTTTTCTGGATGACAAAATAGTTTGGCTATGATATTAGACTGATGTTGCTCTAAGTTAGGATATTTGGATCAGTTTCAATTTACCAGGACCTGAAATACACATACAAAAATTCTTGATTTAAGTGTATATTTTGAAGATTCAGACTTTATTTAACTCCAGTGGAAACTAAAGGCTGTAGTTGAATTCACTGGGACTTGAACAGAGCAACTAGGTATGCTTTATCCTGTGGAGTTGCTTTCCTTTCCTATTTCCTATGCATTTATTTAAGCTTCAAACATTTCTTTAATATGTAACTGTGGGACTTAAGTGAAACTTAATCTAAGTTTCTTAGATACTAAGGTTGTAGTTACAGTATATAATCTTGAAATACCCAAATCTAAGATTAAGGATTTTTCTTAATTGGTTGTATCTTGCAAAATTGTTAATTAACCTGCAGTTAGACACAGATTGCATTTGTGATTCAAACTAGAGTCTTTTATGTCAGTCCTTGCATTGACTCTTGTGAGTCGACACTGCCTACTTTAGGTACGTGATTGTCCTGTGACCTGAGGTGTCCGTGTTTCCTGTATAGTCAGCGGAAGGAGTTTGAAGCCCTGAGGGCATGAAATGCAGCATTGTAGTGTTTCACAAAATAGTAATGACATCAGTAAGCAGTATTTAAAAGCATGAAGAGAAATAGATTTTATGTGAGTTGGGAGTAAGGTAATACAATTTTGTGACTGTACCACATTAGCTGAAGCTGGCTATGTCTGTTGGGTTACAGCTCATCACAGCACATGACTGTCAATGCATGCCCCAATTTACCAGGGTGATAGTGAATTGTGGATGGTTCTTGTCCTCAGCCCAGGGGATTAGTTGCATGGGGATGTCTCTTGAGAAGGCTTTGTGAAGGTAAGACTATTGATTATCGGTGAAATTTCTCAGGATGAAGTTAGGACCTGTAACTTAATTTAATGATGTGACGGAATCTCAAACATGACATTTAACATCTTAAAATAAAAATAAATCCTGTGTGTCAAATGATTGAACTCAGGGTACTTATTTGACCAAAGGTTAATATGCCTGCCCCTAAAGGATTAAGAAACCAATATGTGTATATCTTGATTAAGGAATCTAGTAGATGTGAGCTATGTAAAGGGCACCTTCAGATCCTCAGAAGAATTAGATAAAATGATATTTTAAAGTTCTGTTCACTTGCTAGACAGTGTTTCATTTTAGGGGACAAGAAGTAGGCTATTAAAATCTTTTAGACTTTGGTAACTTTTAAATAATTTTTTTTTTTGGTAAAAATTACACAACTTAATCTCCTAAAAAGAAAACTTCAAAGATAACATCTGCCAGCTAAGAAATGTCTTGATTCTGTTTACCTTTTTCCATGAAAGACAAACATATATGTATATCTAATTTACATATAATGTGTGTACATACACACAGTGGATTTAGTCATGTCATATAAAAAAACACTGCTTTAAACTGGTGGGTTTTTTTGGGTGGTTGTTCTTGTGAAAGAGACAGTAATGTTTTGATGTAAGAGTAGAAGTGCTTATGATGGTTCCACATATCTCTAAGTCCAACTTCTAGTCCCTGCGTCTAGTTACGTCTGTGTAAATATTTTAATTCCTTCTTACAGAAATGACTGCTTACTTGTGAAAGTGGGCAGGTCTGGGCTGAGACAAGGCCTGATCCTGTTGTCCTTCTGCTCTCCTGTTAGGGCGGTAATGAGAACATGTTTGCACCTCTGCTTTCTGTTCCTCACCACTAGTTTATTAGGGAGCTGACTTGGTTTTCTGGATGTTTGTGTAAATAAAACTGGGAATTCTCCATTCTCCAGTAGTATCAGACACTTGTTTATATTAAATTTGTCCCCTATGGAAGCTTGTGAGGCAGGGCATAGTCACAATGCTGAAATAGCTTGTGATTAGTTGTTTGTTTCAAACAGTAGGAGCTGATACCTTCAAATTATGACTTTAAAATACTGGGTTTTTGTGTGAAACTAGTCTTGTTATTCAAAAGCTAACTGTACAGTTTGATTTTTTTTTTTTGATCGTTGTATTCCATTTAAGTTACAGTGAAAAGTACAGGAATGGATTGTCTTTGCCAGTAACCCAGGTACTGCTTTGAGTGCTAAGTGAGGCTTCCTTACAGCCCTCTTTCTGAGCAGTGGTCAAGCTGAGGAATGCAGTTGTGCAACTCTGTAACACAGACCTCGTTGTCCCACAAGTGCTTAGCAGATGCTGAACTCTCCAATACATCCCTGAGCTGGGTGTGGTGAACCCTCATTTGCTGCTGAAGGAAATGACCTTAAGTGGGTTTTATAGGGTCATATTCTAAGGTAAAACTGTAATAATAATGCATTTCTAGTTCCTTTTTTTATAGATTACCAGTGTATCAGACTTTTTCTTTTAAGCAATTTGATGAAAGACTTGTAATCAACTCAGTGTGCATTTGAAGTACCCTTGGTATTAGAATTTGTGGATTTATGCCATGGAGAATATTGCCCAGTGATTAACACAAACTTCTTCCCCTTTCCAGTTTATAACAAACCTTATACTTAGGTTTCTAAAGTAAAACAGGCAGTGATGTATGTGGACTGTTTTTCTCTCTCTTTCGTTGTGCATGTCGACCTCCTCTGGAGCCTGACATAGTTCATGCATGTACCCTGCACATAGTCTGTGCATGTCTCTGCACAGAAGGAAATGAAATTTCACAGGTGGAGCAATAAAAGCCACCCTTGTGAAAGTGTAGTGTCTGGGTATTTTGTAGGGACCTGATTGGGTAGCCAGAGTTACATGAGTGCAATTGCTCACTTCCTGCTGGTGACAAAGCACTAAATCCTGGGTTATTTTTCTGTATGTACTCCCCACTATGTGGATTTATTTAATGTTTTAACAACATAGGCTTGTCTGAACTTCAAGATGTGCCCAGTTTTGATGTGAGTACTCATATTTATTTTTTCATTTTCATTTAATCATTTGCCCTTTCTCCCTTTCCAAAAGGTTGGTATGAGATAGGGTAGGTAGTTGATGTCTGTTACAACTTTGAAAGGGAACCTTGTTCTTCTGATCGAGGGGTAAGTACGTAATTTTGCTTGCAATAAGAGGAAAATCCTCTTTATTTCATTCAGTGAGCTATCCTGAGGAGGGGGTAGTAGGGATCAGAAGAGTAGAAACCAAATTGTATATAATGTATTGTAGTAAGCTATTCTGAATAAACTTTTCTGAAAATGGAAAAGAGATATTACATGACTCCCAGAAAGTGCAGCAGTCACTCTAGAAACGTGTCTGAGATGGAAATGAGAGTTAAGTACCACTGAAACATGGAGGGGTGCAATTACTAGTCATCTGAGCTGTGTAAGCTGTTGGAGGTGTTTATCTGATTAATGAACCAGTAGCACTGGTTCAGCTGTCCTCCTTGGACAAGATCTCAGCTGTCTCTAATCTCTCCAGTATCACTCTTTGTTTTCTGCCTTTATAATTTTGCCTGTTTTTTCAGCATTTCTCATTATTTCTCATCTTCTTGACCTTTGTATGTGTCTTTAATCATGAGGCTGCTCTTTTTCAAACCTCATTTAACAGTAACCCTTAGGCTTCTTAAGGGACTTCATATGTGCATATTTCACTGCTATGCATCACCTTAAAGGTTAACTTTGGCATCTGTGGACAAAAAGCTTTGACTAGAGATTGACTTCCTTCACTTATGGGTGAGTTCTCACCTTTCTTCATGTGTTCTTTCCTTATCTAAATAACCATACTTTTCTAGCTTGTCTTAGAAACAAGGTAACTTTCTGGGAGAGCAAGATGTGACCTAGGTGACTGGAAAAGGGGAAACGTTTCACCCACCTTCAAAAAGGGTGTAAAGGAGAATCCTGGGAACTATTGATCTGTCAGTCTCACCTCTGTGCCTGGGAGGGTCATGGAACAGATCCTTCTGGAGGCTCTGCTGAGGCATATAGAGAATAGGAAGATGATGTGGGACAGGCAGCGTGGCTTCATCAAGGGCAAGTCCTGCCTGACCAACTTACTGGCCTTCTGTGATGGGTTGACTCCATCAGTGGACAAGAAGGGTTAAAGATGTCATTTATGGACCTCTCTAAAGCCTTTGACACAATCCCTCACAACATTCTTCTCTCTAAACTGGAGAGAGATGAATTTTGAGTTGGACTGTTGAATGGATAAGGAATTGGTTGGATGGTCG